ACATTAAAAATGAAATATTATTTAAATATTCCAATAACTAAGTATCTTAAATAACAAAATATTAAAATTAATGTTTTAAATCAGTTAATAATATATTTTAAATAGTTACTGAATAAATTTTAATTATAATAAATAGATTAAGATTTTGAATATTTAGTTAAATAAATAAATATTTTAAATAATGAAATATTTAATATAACAAGATTTTAAATCGTTAAAATAACAAAATTATGTATTAATAGTACTATTATTTTATGGATTAATAAATTCAATAAGTAATTGATATTTTAAAATTTAAATAATGATATTATTTCAATAAATAAATAATATTGTAAATAACTAATTTCATTTATACCAATTAATAATTCAAGAAAATAACTTTCAAAAAAATTATTTTTTATTAAATATAATTTTAAAAACTTAATTTATATTTAATATATATTTATATATACTAAATTTATTGTATTTTAGTAATTATTTATTATTTTTTATGATAAATATATTTTCAATAATTATGTACAAATATATTTTTTTTGTTATTTAATGAAAATTTTCAATAATTATTGGAGTTTAAACTATTATTATTTATCTTTTTAAATTTAATTTATTGTGTATTTTTGCTCTAAATTTCTAATAATTATTAGAGATTAAACTATTACTCATGAGTTAGTTTAGTTCAGTTGCAGGTTGTTTGGCCAACCAAATCGACCTGTTGAGGTTGGGGAGTTTGTCACTCAGGTTATATCGGTTTGGGTCAATTTTCGGTTTGGTTGATCAGTTCAAAAGATTTAAACTTAAAAAATTAAGTTTAAATTAAAAAAATACAATAAAATTATTAAAATAAATAAATTTATGATATAAAATATTTTATCCTAAGAAATATTGGAATTTTCTCACTTTTCAATATTAAAAAATATATTTAATATATATATGTGTATATGGTTGGGTCGTTCTATTTTGGTTAGCTTATAAATGGGGAAAATTGACATTCCTAAATTTGTTAAACAACCCTATCTAAAATTAATTATTATTATTTTTGTATCATAAAAAAATTATTAAAAGTAATATATAAAATATAAATAACTATTAATTATTATATGAAACAATTGTATACTCTTACATATTTCTATTATTTATCTTTAACTTAACAAATCTCATACATCACAAGAGTCCCACTAATTAATTAATTAAACGAACCTTAACAGTGAAAAAGAAAAAGAGTCTCAAGTATCAAAATTAGTGTTGCTTATCTTAGAGGTAGGTTCTCTCGGGCATGGAAAATAGTGTTGCTTTCCAGCTCCCTATTCCTATCAATTACCTTAATAATGTGAATCGTATTACTATGGGAATTCAATTAATCAATTAATCAATTGCTAGAGCAATATTTAATTTTTATAACAGGGATCGATATGGAATACACAATAGGCTTGTGTGTGGCAGCTAAGAAGGATAATCACACATTGTTTCATGTGGTCTTGTTCCATTTTTAGTAGTTGGTTGAAATTATAGAAGGAACCAAGAATAATTGTCCAATCGACAACAGAATATACGGCAGCTGATATGTGCACCCAGGCAACGAATTGGCAGTCGAATAAGATGATCGATCACATAGGCACATAGCTAGTTTACAGCTGAAGCAAAGACACAGGGGCCACATGTCTAGCATAAATATTGTTTCTTATGTATTTTGTTTCGGAGTCCAGTTAGTTGTCCTCTCTGAGCAAAATAAGACTGTTGTAGGTTCAATTATCAATAGTCTACGCCTGGAAATCAATTGACTCAGCAAGCCCAAAATGGAATATTTGCTAGTCCATCGATCACATCTCTCTCTTCTTCGCATGGCCCAAGTTTCAATCCCATACCTCTTGTCTTTGTGGACATAAGCACAAAATTTGTATGCTCACAGATGGTCCGCTCAGGTGGGTTTCATTTCTTGTCGTTAATGATAAAACTCAGACATTGGTGGACCACATAGGTGTGGAGAGTCTTTGTTTTTTCCTGCTGTGTGTATTATCTAGGTTTCTGCTGCTGTAAATAAAATTTTATCTTAACAAAACGAAAGTATTTGTTCCATATATTATTCATTTAAATATGTTCTTAAGAGACTTCATATCTGCGCCCCACAGCACATCCGAACTATATATTGAGAACATCTCCCAATTACAAGTGCATGAGATGCTTTCAATGTATGTTGACATGTACATGTGGGGTACATCCAGTGGGGTCCCCTCACCCCACCTCGGTCAGGGCGGGTTTTTTGACCATTAGTTGGGGTTCATGGCGAGTTTGGAGAAACCTAAAACTCTAGGGATCGGGGAGAAGATGGGGATGGTATTTGTTCACCTTGCCCTGACCCCGGCCCCAAACTCACCTCGACTATATTGTATAATGTCATATTATAAATTATATTATATAATATTATATTGGTCTAGGTAGGTTTGAAAAAAATAAAGAAATAAATAAATTTGTAGGTATACAAATAGGAATGATTGGAGTGGGGCAGAGAAAATTCAAGGATCTTTGTTTCCTATGGGGACAGAGATGGGGTTAGGATTTTGCCCTGTTGCCATTCCTCAGAGAGAGAGAGAGAGAGAGAGAGAGGTATGGGCAACTAGGCCATTATTAGATAATTAGGGCACCTTTTGGTTTGTAGGAATAGGCATCGGGAATCAGAATGATCCATTTCGATTCCAACTGTTTGGTTGGACAGATTTAGAATGATATTCCCCCATTTGAGAGAATGGCCATTCTCTCCCCCCCCCCTTCCTTTGGGAATGAAATTCCACTCCAATTGATTTCAATTCCCATTTCGATTCCTGTCTAAATCAAACAGACTATGAGAATAGATCATTCTTATTCCGATTCAGATTGTAGAACAAATAGGCCCAATTCTGACTGTAAAACAAATAGACACCCTTATATTGTGGTGGAATGTGGACTCAATACACCATTAGTCTCGACATTTTGATTATGTTTGGTTTGAAGGAAAAAGTAGGGAAAGGAAAAGAAAAGTAAGAAAATTTTCTATCTTAATTTTCCTTCATTTTCCTACTTTTTCTTTCAAACCAAGCACAACCTTTGAGTTCCTCCCTTTCAACGCTCCACGGCTCTCGATCCATCTACCTAGGGAAGGAACAAAGAGCCTAAGAAGTAGTAAGATCTAGAGGCACATAGTCACAGACACGAGTGTTCTGCTTCCCATGGAATCCGAGGAACCAAGGATAAGATGATTTTGGCAATTTTTGGGTGGTTAATCAATCGACCAAATTTCTTCATTCTTCACACAAGACCATTCCACAGCTATCTTTGATTGTTTTTGGTTTCTGCTTTGTGCTGACCAGGATCCGATGCTAACCAACATCTTGATGTTCCCTTTTTATCCAACCAAAATGTCATTTCCTTAGATACCAGAAACACCCTTCACTTCCCCATATATTAACAAAAAAATGTCCTTTGGTGTTTGATCCCACGAGAGCCCGTCCTGGATCATTAAACGTGAACTCTGCCTCTGCTCTCTCCGTCCTCCCTTTCCTCATGCGTAAGAAAAGAAAGCCATTAAAATAACATATCTAAAGGGAAATACGAGATGTCGATATAGCTCCGCTCGACTATTAGTTATAACGCCAGCTCCAAGTTGCTGCGTGAATTTTGGTGCCGTAAAATTGAAACAACCATCATGTACCAGCGTCAGATTTCAGAGTCTTTCACTTCAGGAAACAAGAATCCTTCCGTTTCATGACTCATCCCTTGCCACTTGCCAGGCCCTGCGGTATGTCCACACTCCACAGCGTGACGTTTACACTATTTTTTTCGTTACCACGTGGCAAATTCTTACTGCTTTTTAATGGAATCCCAAGCTCCAGTCACAATACCCCCCTTCCCCCTTCCCCCGTCAACAACCATATGATAATGTATAATAGACAATGGCCATGTTCATGATCATTTATGGCCACGTGATCCGTCTCTCTCATCCATCAATGTTGCTAGTCTATATCAACGTACAAAAGGTACGTGCAGCCGTCTGATTTAGGTCCCATGCGTGGGGCCCGCAGTCAACTCCAGATTATTGAACTTTGAACGTCTCATGACTCATGAGTCATTCTTTGCTTGCACAGAGTTGATAAATCACAATTTCATTCAAATAGAAGATCCCAATTGCATGGACCTTATCCATGACAATTGACAACCGAGTATACACATACACACCACCAAGTCATCAAATAGAAAGAAAGCTTTAATAGTGTACGTGTGGAATGGGAAAACAAGATTTGTTAAACCTAATCCCAGTTGAGATTTGTTGAGATATGCAAGATGGATGATCAGAACATGATAAAAATGACACGTCAATATTTCCGTCCAATCGATTGAGATAACAATTTGCTTACATCACCGTTGACACCGTGGTGACAACCAAGAACCAGCTGTTTTTGGACCTCTTGTGGTCCTTTGCTTAACTACGTAAAAAGAGCTTTGCCTAACAATGATGTGTAATTGTTTTTGTATTAATCGAATTAAACTATCATTTCAACAATACATTCAAGATTTCTTTTCTTAATAATATATGTTATGGATAGATCACCAAATTATAAATTATATGATGGGAAGAGATGAGCCATTATGATCATGATCTGATTGGATCTCAAGCTTCCAGCCTCTGCACCTTTAGATTCTCTGAATCAATGGGCCGGCGTTTTGGGCATGATAACTGTTTATTAACAGTAAAGTAGTACATATACTGGATTAGTGCAGTTTGATCTGTTGTTCATCATATGACAGCTATTTATCAAACGGCCAAAATCGATTCTTTATTATTGTTATTATTTTGATAAATTGGGGCCCATATATACCGAATAATAATTTTCAAAATTGAAAAAAGAAAATTGGAATTTAGAATTTAGATGCTTTTCTTTTTCTCGTATGGATTTCCCCGCTAGAAGAAAAATTAATAGCAGAAACTACTAAACTACATATCTAAAGAAAAAGAAAAAAGAAGGAAAGAAAGAAATGTGGAGACTGGTGAGAGAAAATGAGAAGGAGAGAGAAATAAAACTTTAATAAGCAGCTGAGCTGACAGACATCCAGTAGTATTCTATTCCAGTCCATGAGCATCAGAGCATAGATGTTTCTGAAGAGTGAAGAGTGTGAAGAGTGTGAAGAGTGAAGCTGTCCTTGTACGCATTCGACGTCTGCCTCGTAATCTACAAATCTTTCGTCGTCGTCTTTGAATCCATCGATTAACCTCCTGGCTGCAGATCGATACCCAAGAGCAATTGAGACGGAAATCAGGAAGAGCGAGCAGACCATGGATCCGTGCCCATTTGTTCGAGTCATCGTTGAGGGGCTCGCTCTAAAACTACCAGTCGCCAGCAAGCACGCCGGGTCAGAAGTACACCCTTCTACTACCCCATGCTTCTGCAAACTCCGTCTTAAAAACTTCTCATCCCAAACTGCTATCCTCCCTCTTTCCACCACCCCCGGCGACTCCCCACCGGAGTCCACCACCTCTTCCGCCGGGTTCCACCTTGATCCCCTCTTCCTCCGGCGTCTCTCCGGCAAGCAGACCACACTCCATGTCTCGGTATACACCGGCCGCATGAGTCGCACGTGCGGGATTAGCTCAGCGAAGTTGCTGGGCCGGGTTCACATGACCTTCAACCTCCAAGGTACCGAGCATCGCACTTGTATGTTCCAGAACGGGTGGATGAAGCTGGGCAAAGACTCCGATAAGTCATCGGCTCGGTTGCACCTTGTGATTCGATCGGAACCGGATCCACGTTTCGTGTTTCAATTTGGTGGCGAGCCGGAGTGCAGCCCGGTAGTTTTTCAGATCCAGGGGAATATCAGGCAACCGGTCTTCAGTTGCAAGTTTAGTGCTGATCGGAATTCGAGATCCCGGTGAGTTTTTATTTCATGTTTTCCTCCTTTTCTCGAATCCGGATTAGCTGCACTTAATGCTGTATTAGGGCTGATTAACCAATAATAATTCCCCACGCCGGCCATGCACGCGAAGTGAGAGATTGGATTAGTTGTGGTTGTGCCGTTGTGGGGCTGGGGCATATATATATACGTTGACGTGGGGTATTACTTATTATCGGTCAAACATCCCTTAACACCGCCATCGAAGTGCAGCTAATCCAGACTCCAAAAAGCCTAAGTCTCCGTTTAACAAACCCACGTGGCAAACCACAATTAATACCAGGCTACTAGCTTGAGTTTGCTTGCTAAGTTAAAGCTCATTTAGGTTGTGTGTTTGTTTTGTTTTATAACTTGTGAAATTGTTTGTCTACTTGAAGGGTTGAATAATCCTTGTATGGTTATTATTAGCTCAACTCAGAGCATGTAAATGCAATTCAAGTGGATTCTTGAACAACCATTGTTATTGCTCTGCTTTTTAAGTTTGATTCCTGCAAAATCTTAATTATTCCACTTTTTCTTCTTCTTCTTTGCTGCAAAAATCAAAATTTTAATGCAATTTGATTAGGTTAACCATTGATTTTTATTTAAAATAATAAGCTCTGAAACTTAGATCAACAGAACCGCCATAACTGTCCCCAGACCAACTACCTTAAGAGACATAGACCCTCCCATTTGCATTTGTTTAGTTATGGTGGTTGAGTTATTGTTGTTATTAATTCCAATTTTTTTTTTTTTTATTGGGTACTTCAATTTGGTGGTTGTGTGTGTCCTTATATTTGACTTTCCTCTGTTATATTTCTTGATTAAAACAAAATCGATCATGTTGGTCAAGTTGAGTACTCATGTAGGTTTCTTGTCTTCAGATCTCTGCGACTAGATTCCAACAACAGGGGTGGAGGATGGATGAAATCCTTTTCGAAGGAGAGAGACAGGCTGGGGAGGGAGAGAAAAGGGTGGATGATAATGATATATGATCTGTCAGGTTCCCCTGTGGCCGCTGCATCCATGATAACACCCTTTGTCCCCTCCCCAGGTTCAGACCGAGTGTCGCGCTCCAACCCCGGCGCTTGGCTCATCCTCCGTCCTCAGGGGTTTTCTGTCAGCAGCTGGAAGCCATGGGGACGTCTGGAGGCCTGGCGTGAGAGAGGACCCGCTGATGGCCTTGGCTACAAATTCGAGCTTGTCACTGACACCGGCACTAACACTGGGGTTCCCTTTGCTGAATCCACCATGAGTGTTCGGAAGGGTGGCCAATTTTGCATTGATACCAATTTGGTTGGAGATACTGCATCCAGCTCGTCGTCATCTCGTAGAGGATTTGTAATGGGTTCCACAGTGGAAGGTGAAGGGAAGGTCAGTAAGCCAGTGGTTCAAGTAGGAGTGCAGCATGTAAAGAGCACGGCCGATGCCGCCCTCTTTGTTGCGCTTTCTGCAGCAATCGACCTTAGCATGGATGCCTGCAGGCTGTTTTCACGTAAACTGAGAAAAGAGCTCTGCCGTTACCAGCAAGAGTACCTTTCTTAATTAATTAAGAAATAATTTTTGTCATCGGGAGCTTGTATTAACAGGTTCGAATACACAATATATGATCCATTATTCGTTCTTTCCCTTTTGGCCCTTCTTTTCAGTTTTCAACACTTGGTTTTACATTGAAGGGTGGCCTCTGGTTTGGTTTTGGGGGCTCTCTTTAAGTGTTGATTATTTATGATTTTGGTCTCCTAAATCACATATTTGTTTTTGTTCTTTTGCTAATTTTTGGTCCTACAGACATTTGAGGGCAGAGAGATGCGAGGTAATTTCTTACAGGAATGTCAAATTACAATTTTATTTATAATTTAATAATTCATACTGATTGAAGGTTGAAACTCTACCGACAGAAAAATTGGGAGTTGCATGCATGTTGACATTTATCTGCTTTTTAATAAGCACTTAAAGTTGAGGTTTACTATGTACCATCAGTTTTTGCTTTGGGGGTTGAGTCAGAAATCAGAATGTCTTTTAGAGAGTGGGATCCATGGGTCGATAGGATGGATATTGGATGGACACACATATATGGAATATGGAGTATGAACTATTGTCACAAGTGACTCCTTCGCCGCGCCATCAAGCACCTACAGTGAGCCATCCGAGTGCCAACTGCGTGCCTTCATGGTGTCAACATGTGTGTCATGGGTGGGCTTTACTTGTATTTTGTAAGGGGGACCGCCAATGGCGTTATTGTAATTACTTAGTATGCTTTTCCATCATTTTGATGTTTCCTATTGTCACTCCCCCAAAAGCTTAACGT